GACATGTCCACCCAACTTACCCCTGGTGTCCTTTGGCCCAAAAATCAGCATACCCTCGCCTCACATAGCTCCCAGACCCCACAGTCACTTATGCAACCGATAACCTCTTGCGAATCTTTTGTGATTTTTCTGAAAACGCAAACCCAGTGGATCTTCCCTGACCTCAGACGAGAAACATCCTAACCGTAAGTTAACGTCTCGAAGAATAGTTGGTTAGTTCATAGTGCTCGGATTCTACAGGCAAAATCGAAACTATAAACAGTTGTAAGCAGGACAACATTGAAAGGAATTAGAAAGGGAAAAGGATAAACCGACCCTTGTAAGAATGCAGGGTTAACTGATCGATCCACCCCGCCCTGCCCATTCTCCTATTACCCTTTCCCGCCCTAGCGGACTTCGATCAACGGGGTCAACCCCGAGGTACTGCCTGAATGGACTTACCGAATTGACGATATAACTGGTAGTTGAGCGGGCAGGTGATCCCGAATGTCAACCCTCCAACTCCACCTTGCAGTAATTTCCGATGATGCGCTGAAGTTCGGCCTGATGGAGACTTGTGGTTGTAGGAGCAGGTGGGTCACTACCGTACCAGGTCGATAAGGTGCGCGAGACCAAGCCCACCCCGCTGCACATCGATTTTTAACCATTATTTCCGGAATAACCATTTATTGATCAGAGTGTGACGGTTCCGATAGTCAAAAAACCTTATCAGCGCAGTTCAGAGTTCATCTACAGTAGCGGTCAAAAGTGTTCGCCGAAACGGTTTTTGTGCTTTTCTTTTTTTGCCAGAAAAAATTCAATGGTGACCTCGAAAATTTTTTCTTTTGAATATCTGATTCTTCGAGACTTGAGGGTATAAACACACTAGAAAGGACCTTGCTCGAGCGAGAATAAATAATGCACAGAAAATCGTTATGGCGAACACTTTTGACCGCTACTGTAGGTGTTATGTGAAGCGAGGGTGCACCTATTTTCGAGCAGAAGGAACTTTGGTGGAAAATTCCTTGAATCACTTCCTATTACCCCCTTAGCTTAGCCTTGGAAGAAGGAGAAACTTTTAGGGGAGGTAAGGGAAACCGACTTCTTTCCACTCAAAAACCCGCGTTTTCCGCTGTCCTCAACGAATTGGCACCTTCATCTATTTTGGTGTCGCCATGAATTCGCTCTCGTAGGGAGGCCTATTCGATTGAAAGATGCAGATTTCACTGTGATCGGCTGTTAGGAACTCCTGAAGAGGAGAAAATGCTCAGACATCCTTCTTAATGCCTCCTCCGCAATCCTTGGATCGCCTGAATCGTCCATAACAAACATCACTCTCCAGAATACACTCTCTTCCTATAGAGAAACCGATTTTCTTGACTTTCGTATGGCTATATACTCAGTTTGAACAGCGCTAAAAGCCTCTTGCTCATCCACATTGGAACCCCAGAGTTTAGCTCGAGCCGACATGAGAGAGGCTGGAACTAGAAACAAAATCCGAGATTACGCCTATAGCCACTGCGATATAAAATATTTACCACATGAACTTTTTATGTGATAGGACAGGGCCAACTATCCGTTGTTAATTTTACAATCCCCCTCTTTTGAAAGGGTGAAGGCTTCGTCCACTTCCAACACCAACAGGTAAAAAGAGGATCCTCTAAGATGCACTCGGAAAAAAGGGGAACAACAAAAACCCGAGGAACCTACCTTCCGGCACCGTTTAATGTCTCTACAATTCATGGTAGCAAGTTATCGATGCGCTGCTTTAAACAGCATATGGCTGCTAAGTGGGAAATTCTATTGAGCACAGGCCATCGTCCTGATATGCTGTCGGCAGTGCAAGAGCACAGGATCTTATTTAGGAACCTAAGTGAAGTAGTTTTTCCTGTTTTCTGCTGATAATGGGTCATTCTGCGCCTTCAGGTTACGACTGAACCTGGTTTCCCTTCACCAAAAGCCAGCAAATTCTGCACTGCAGGCTTTATAAGACAAGTGGCCTCCAAGTTAATCTGACAACTAGTAGTGAGTCTACAGTGAATGAGGGGGCATTACGGTGCACAGGCTGCTCTAGTGCCAATTTGGAGCCCTTCAAAGTTACAATTAGCTTCAGATTTCACATTTTTTGATGTATGAAGTTCTTCTGCTGTATGACAAAAACGTCTAACAAGGGAAGGATACCTGGTCGAAGTGGTCATTTTGTAACGAGACATACACCACTAGATGTGTTTTTGGGCATTTCGTTGGTAGGGATACGTTTGCATCTTGTGGGAAGCGTCGTCATTTGTATTGTGAAGTCTGTGGTGGACACACATACAAAGGATGCTACGCAGGCACAGCTTTTTAGTCCAAACTGAGATAGGGGTTGAGAGAGAAGGTTCCAACAGTTGACAGGAGCGCTCTTAAATAACCTTTGAGTAAAATGCTCACTGTGTAAGCTGCAGAAAGCTGTGCCGTTACTAAATACCATAGTACCTTCCTTATTATTATTTAATTGCAGAGATTTGAAATCTGACCGGAAGAAATTTTGGCGTTACCGATACGGCAACAACTGTGGTGGCAATGCATTCAAAACTGTAGAACATCTCGCTTTTGGAAACCGGGACTGAGCCTCAGGCGAGGGAAGAGAGACACTAGGGAATGTAAGCAATTGTCCTTTTCTCCGAAGTTCCTTTCCTAGGCTTAGTGTTAGAGGATGCGCCCTTTTCTTACGATAGCGCCAAAATTTTTCTCGCCTTCAGCCAACATTGCCCCGTGGGAAAAGAAAAGTGGTAGCCTGTTGCCAGTGTTTTGTCAAATCTACCAGTATGGCAAATAATTGATCGTTAAGAACCTAATAATTTGAGCCTTCCGTGGTCAACATAGGGCCGGTGGGCGGTACTACTAGTCTCACCAAGCTCCCAATAAACAGTTCCAATGACACACATGCAAGGGCCCTTGCCGCCATCTTGTAGAGCTTAAACTGATACAGCCAGTAAACAGCGCAGAATTTTGAAAATCACGTCCGATATTCATGAGAGGTAAGCGCCGCGGTTGGTGCGCGGTTGCTAAATTTTGTTTCATTTTTCAACTTTGTTATACACATTGTGGCGAAAATGACACCCATGTGATTATCATTCGCAACAAACTTGCGGTTTTTTTTTTTGACTTCCCTCTCGAATATCCTTCTACTAGCTCGCTAATTAATACCTATTACTTTTTAGATGTGATTTCTCAGATTCTTCATTAGTTTCTGCGGCTACATAATTAGCTACAAAATGTTTTCTATAATGAATGCAATCTAGAAATCTGTTTCCGTGACACAATGCCTAGAAAACCCTCCAGGCAAGGGGGGCAATTTTTCCACTATTCAATGTACCTTACCACCGAGCGCGCGGTCACGTCGCAATCAGATAGTGCGTTAATCGACATCACCTGCGACGTACCAGGAAGCCGCGTCGCTGCCGCTCGCTCATATTCAGGTGATTTGCACGTGTCACGATCAATTCATAGTTTTCAACACATTTTTCCAATTTTTTGAACAATCGACTGAATTCCCACTCTTCTTGCATTACATAACACATTTCTCATAATTTACTATTTAATTGATGCCAAAATAAGACAAAAAAAACATGACAAAGGAAAAACCAACATAGGCGAAACGCAATGATGACAATGGATGTGTGTGTGTAACTCTTCGTCAAAATGAGGAACAAACAACAACGGTGAGGAAAATGGGGTTGGGTCGGGTCTGAGTGGGGATGGGGAATGATACAACCAATGTTTCTTTTTCTTTTTCAAATACAATTGAGAGACAGACAGAGAAAGAAAAAGGGAGAGAGAGCGCGCGCGCGAATGCTATAATCGACCAATCAATAATCATCATATAATAATAAGCAAACGTACATATTTCACACTATGACAACATTTAATGCGATAATATGAGCTTCATAGGTAGTGAGGAGGAACATTCGGCGGCGGGCCGCCCACGGCGGCCATTCGGCGGAGGGCAACCACCATTAGGGGCTCAAAAACCATGGGATGGGATCGGTGGTCCCTGGGACACGCACGCACGCACGCTAAACAGACACGCACTAGAAATTCCATCCATATTTACCAGTCGAGATTAGCTGTTACGAGATATGACAAACTCGGGAGGACCAACGGGGGGGGGTCTTTTTGGGGACTGGGGAACGGGAAACGAACACACAGCAAACCGGGACCATTTGGGACGACGGGAACATATAACGACTCTGAGATAATTCAGCGATGATGTGATGATGACAATATGGGGGGGGGGGGCTGTATGATGGATTTCATGAAAGAACAACGCGCAATATGACTATTACATATAGTTATTGTACAACAGAAGAACATCATCAACATGTACTTTAGAAAATAACACACGTGTTATGAGAGACAGCAGAGAAAGAGAACACGTGACAGATATAATATATTAGGCATAGACGCACACACAACTCTCACACTATGGTGGCCATATCTGGCTTCACGTACGCGTGCGTGCGCGACGCGGCACGTGCATCAAAGCGTCTACTATGTATATGTATGTATATTTATAGGATGAGACGACCCCAAACAGGACCCATTTGAACGGCGAAAGATGAGGAAAGGTGAATGGGCTTGGAGAAATGAATGAATACACAGACATCATCATATAGAAATCGAAGACGGGAGAGAAGAAGGAGCAGGAAATGATGATTGGAAGGAAGCGAGGAAGATTGCAAACAACCCGTGACAACCCGCAGGGCATAGAGGGACGGAGGGCGAGACAAGAGAGAACGAAACGAACGGATGACTGACGAATAACGAGATGTGTGTGTGTGATTTTGGGGAATATACGGCAGAATCAAGCAGCGAACTGCGCCACGAGGATTGCGGTGGTAGACTACGGTACTTCGAAGTATCACTACAGGGCTAATTTGGCGCCTACTCAAGAGTCCTATCTAACCGCTTTTCTCAGCTGCTGCTCGCTGCTTGACTATACGGGTGTGATATCGGCCTGGAGCTCACATATGATTCAGCTACCGACCATTTGGAATGACGTCATTTCCGTCTCGTTTAATCTGACCGAGCTGTTGAAGGCCAGCCGAAAACGGCTTCGCGTACTGTGCACCGAGTCCTTGCAATCCCAACAGTGCCGGATTGAACAATGGCGACTGCGATGTCGGCGTTCCACCCATCGAAGCATGTTGGGCTGCCAAACCAGCCAGTCCGGGAGGTAGTGAACCCGCACTGGCCGGGAAGCCAGGCGGAAGACGTTGCTGCTGCTGTTGTTGTTGTTGCTGCTGCTGTTGTTGCTGTTGTTGTTGCTGTTGTTGAGCTGCAGCAACTGCGGCCTGTTGAGCGCTCAGTAACGCCTCGATACCACCTCGACCAGCGGCTGACGACTGACTGTACAACCGCAAGAGTGCTTCACGGGGATCGACGCCTCCAGTGACAGAATGCTGCTGTTGTGCTTGAGCCTGGGCGGCTTGCTGCTGCTGAGCCTGAGCCTGGGCTTGTGCCTGAGCTTGGGCATGAGCCAGCAGGCAGGTTCTGTTGCTGTTGTTGTTGTTGCTGCTGTTTGTTCAAGGTGGGCACGATAGATGCCGAGATCGAGTTGAGATGGCTGACCGCTCTGCTGAGCTTGTGCTTGAACTTGAGCCTGAGCCTGAGCATGTTGCTGGAGGGCTGTCGCAAACGCCGCTGCTCTTCCTGGGTCAAGTTGTTGAAGCTGAAAAGGAAGGAAATAAAAAGTGATAAATAATAAAAAGCGATGTAAAATATATGAATGAAAAATATGTATGCGCATACTATCCATTCTTGGATGTAACAATTGATTCCTGATTCAGACGAGCATGTGTCCCGGTTGCCAACTTAGAGCAGAGTTAGCCCAGATGCCTGCGGTTGATTTCGTGCCATTTTGGCTGCCTGCAAACGTATTTATGAGGAGCATGGCATTATCAGATTGAACAAATTTGAAAGCAGGGTACGGGATTTTTGGTCTAAATTGAACCTTTTTCCGAAAAAAATGTAGTGGCACACTGCTGATGGTGGGTGTGGTGGTTATAAGTATTCGTGTTGGGGGGTGGATGGGGTCGTGATGAATCAGCAATGTACATAAATTTAAGGATGATTTGACAAGGCCGAGGCGTTAAGGCTCAAGGATGCAGCTGGCCCCGCCCAACACTGCTGACCCCGCCCCCAGTACAATGCTGTTTCGCTTCGCCGTACTTGCGCGGTAACTTTACTTTCATTTCTCGACGATTTCTCCCGTTTATGAATGCCGTTACATTTAACACATCTCTACTGACACCAACAAGCGCAAAAACACATCGGTTTGATCACGGACTGTGCCTTTAAATTCTTTTGATTTAGGCTACAAAAACTGTCAGCACTAGCACCCCATAACTCAACATGCAAAAAAAATGTGTAAAAAAATAGATCTAGAGGTGAACTAGCGCAGTTTTTACGAGTTCCCCCTCCCGATGATTAGCCCACAACCCACCCGAGGCACCCCAATGGAACCCATAACACACGCAAGACAGTAAGTAAATAATAGACTTAAAGTATTACCCATACCTGCTGCTGTTGAAACTGCTGGGCTTGTTGTTGTTGCTGTGCTTGCAATTCCCGCTGTTCTCGTTCTCGTTGAGCTTGAGCCTGAGCTTGAGCTTGGGCGGCAGCTGCAGCAGCCACTGCAGCTTGTTGTTGCTGTTGCTGCTGCATGAGCTGTTGCTGATGTTGTTGCTGCATTTGCTGCATAATCGCTTGCAGCATGGCTTGTTGAGCCGCAGCTGCATCGCTGGTGCCGTTCGTTATCGAGCCGGCGGCAGGGGCTGGTGCCGCTAATGACAGTCCACTGGCGCCAAGGGTAGCCAAACCGGGCGGTAACGTCAAACCGGACGGTTGCTGTGGAGGGCGTGGCATGGCCGACGGTGGCCGTTGTGGGGTCATCTGGGCTTGTGGTGGTTTCGGTGTGGCACTGAAATTAGGGCAAATTAGTTCTCTAAGTTTTTTATGGCTGGCACTTTGCCAAATTCTCAAAAGTATAAACTCACGCTGCGACTCGTCGAGCTTCTTGTAACACCGAGAGCATTTGTGGATTACCGGACAAAGCCAAACTCTGCAGTGCTTGTGGCGGTAAACCAGCTAATGTCGGATATCTGAAAAAATTACAATTACCCGACAGCACTCTAAAAATTCCCTCTTGCTTTTTGGAGCGCTTACCTTTGAAGAGCCCCTCTGGGAAACCTGGAAACTCCCAGGTCACGTCTATCTGCTGTTTCCCTTCTCCACGTGAGCACACCCTTCAATCGCCACAATGTTTGCCAACCATCAAGCGTTACAAGCGCGTCAGTCAACCGGAGGAAATGACATCCGGGGCAAATATTTGCGCTCTACATACACCAACACCACCCCCATTCAACCCCGCACTTGAGCGTTTCTTCAAATACCTAGAAAGAAACGGATCAACGCGACTAGTCGTGTAACCCGACGCTTCTTTCGAATAGATCAACATTACTCGGAATTCGATAGTCCCAGGCCGGCTATTTTTGGTCCCCTAACGGCTCTGCAAACATGAAGAGCGCCACAAATACTAAACTTTGACAAAAAGTTTTCCAGCCGTGCACATCTCTAACGGACGGCAAATAGCAATTGAGTGGGTGGGCGGAGCTTCCCCCAATGTAGGCGGGGCTTCGCTCTAATCCAGGTTTTGGTTCCCGACGGTACCCAGTGATGGGAAAAGCATCCGGTAAGCATTAAAATATTCGAGGAAACGTAAATGAAACTATAACTGACCCAGCAGGAGCTGTGGCAGACGATGTCGACGGAAGACAGTGCGGAGGTTGTGGCGCAGCGGCTCGAGCTGCTGACAGTGCCGCATGTTGCATAGCTTGCATCTGAGCGGCTGCACTCGTCGTATCGACACCGGTTGACATGACTGAGGTTTGCGAGGTGCTGGCCACAGACATTGGTGGTTGTACAGTGGCGGCTCGAACTCGTTGTTCAGCTTGCGCCATGCCCGCGGCAATCTGCTTGTCTTTTTGTTGCTATGCGATTGTCGGTACTGCGTGCGATGTCAATGCGCAATCTTCACATGCATTCCACACCAATCGACCAGGTTTCTGAAACAATTAATTTAATTATAGGTGTCGTGTAGCTGGCGTAATCATAGCAATCATTGGCTTTCACCCCATTTCCTTCACGAAGAAAAAAAACAGGATGAATGCTTGCAGCGAAAATTATATGAAATCATAAATTGATCGTCTAGAAACGGCCCAGCTTTCCGCGTGCGGACCAGAAAGCCTTCGTCATTCATCGGAAACGAAATGCTCGTAGCAAAAAACTCAATGAGCGCAAAGAGTCAAGAGCGGGGAGGACTAAAATAGAAAACGTTTCTAGGCTGACCACTGTGAAAATACCCGTTTGAGAGGGCTGATTCCATTCTGCCTTGGCACTCTAACGATAAGGATCTAGAGAAGGACAAGGGTATCTCTAGCGTGATATAAGAATTTTGCTAACAGTTTCATTAAAAGTAACCTGTTTATAGGAACCGGTAAAATGCCCTACATCATCGATGTCCGACCCATTTTGAACACATTTTTAGTAATCCATCAACATGGGAGCTCCCCACCCCTAATCCTCTCCTTCTTGGCCTGAGCAAAAATATCCGTCTCTTGGCTTGAGATCGCTTCTCCGTGTCATTCTAGGCCAATTTAATCGCTCCTTCTCAAAAAGCTAAGGTATTATCCGAACGTCTCTTTCATTAGTGTTATTGACCCCTTTATCTGATCATTATCGGTCGGAGGCCCCCAGATACCGTTCATAGGGCCCGGCCTTCTCCATTTACCCTTTTCACTGACCGTTCTGTTGTCGCGCCCTTGTTGACGAAGTACGCCTTTGGATGTTTTTTTAGGTACACAAAAACGGACTTCTTTTTTCGATCGAATCGGTACTTTTGATGAGCTGCACTATCTAACGCTTACAGAAGACCGCTCCATGACCCCTTCTAACGAAGCGGATTAGCGTTTCAATTTCAAGTTTCTGCTTACACGTACCGAAGTATAACATTAGTTACTAAGTTCATTCTAAAATCAAAAAAAAGATGTTCCTTTTGGGTTATAGGAACTCAGCGCGCAGATTCGAAAGCAAAAAACCCCTTACCTAAGCGCTTTTCTGTTCAAATGGGATATCGCCCTTCCCCCGACTTTCCGACGGCAGCGGATGATCGCCTCGGATACGAACATAGGACATTCAATGATTACGCATGCGTCGAGTCATCCGAACACGACGATCAGGACGACAGAACTGCATAGAATTAATAATGCGTACTCGTGTGAGAAAAATGCATGGGGGCTTCACAAGCTTTTTCTCAAGTCAGTCGTCTGTAACACTTTATGAAGTCAGACTTGCTCAGTGCGAATTCACTTCTAGCTACGTTCGAAACTCGGGTTCAAAAAAAATTTTTACCCATGAAATATGCACTTTTCGTTGGACACTCTGGGATTCAATGCCTGCAATGCTACCTCTCATTAGGTATCCACGAAAGGAAAAAAATGAAAACGATCGATGTTCGAGAATATAGCACTGCACCGTCTGCCTCATTTAAAGAACTGTTGTAACGTTTGTATACCACATCCAGCGTACACAGGGCCATCTAATTATCTGGAATGGACTTATCCCGATTACCGACTTATCCACTTATCCCGATTACAGTAATATCGAACAGCCTAGTATTTCAGCGTTCAGCCTCACATAATCGTTAAAACTATATTCCCCCCTCTCTTGCAAAAACACCATGCGCCAGCGGGCAGCGCAAATGGGCTCTAAATCCCACATGCATGGAGCATGATCAGTTCTGACAGGTAACGCAGCAAGCCATCATCCATGATTTTTCTGGTGGTAGCCAAAGATCGTTAGCAAAAAAGCATTCACTATTAAATAAAAAAATGGTTTTTTAGATATCAGCTATCAGCTTTACTGCATTTGGTCAGCGATTACATTTAAAGGACGAATTCACGCTGGAAAGGCAACCCATTTCAAATTAAGTTAGCGATGGTGAGTGGTACACTAAAGAAGGAAAAACATGAGAAACGGCCCAGAACCCGAGAAATGGGACCCCTTCCTTGCCCGTTGATTTGAGCATTGATGCGACTATCATCGCTGTGCCCTCTTCAACACTACGCTCTCTCACCTATCTAATCACTCGCCACGTATTAGAACTAAAATTCGTGCGTAATACATTATACGAAGTTATTACGACCTCGAGGCCATCTTAGCTCCTATTATTAATATTAATGTAAACATATCTGTGACGAAACACGCCATTTACAATGCATCAAAAATCTTCAAGAGCAGAAAAACGTTCAACAGTTGGACAAAGTGCATTTCAGAGAATTTTCTGATGAATCACGAATCACGTGAATCAATTAATTTCACGCTCAATTCGCATGCTAATGCCTCTCTGTGATAGTGGAATTACGTAGGGTCGCTATGGCCCCTGGGTTGTAAGAAAAAGGTTACATGTAGCCAATTCAGCCACCCAGGTAGCTTTGCTAATGTTCTATGAAAAACAAAACAAGCCTTGAATCAACATAGAAATGAGCACCTACTACCAATTGCTGTAAACACCCCTTATAAATGCGAAAAACAAAAACAAAAAGGAAAATATAAAAAATCAGCTGGAAACGACGTACCCTGGGCAGGAGTGATGACGCTGACGGCACAATCGGTCGTCCAAGGAGAGCAGCACCGGCCAGCTGTGGACCAAGGGCTGCATTTGCCGGGAACGGTAGAGCTGATGCACTGGCCGGTCCCAAACCCGTCGGTGGCAGTACCGGATTGCCGCTGGCAGCTGCAGCTGCTAACGCGGCTTGCTGAAGCTGCAGAGCTTGCTGTTGTTGTTGTTGCTGCTGCTAAAATAATGAGAATTTGCATGATGAGAATCGGGTACGAACAACGAGAGGACACAAAGAGCCAATTAATGGGAACGCGGAGGAAAAAGTCGTTAGAAAAACTTGTTTTGATGGCGGCTGTGACAGCGGAAGTGCAAAAGAGCCTTGCAGGCAGCGGGCCGCAAATTATGCGCTGCAAAAGAGCCGTGGGCAGAGGAAAAAAGCGGTCTCTCCAGCCTAAAGTGCACTACTCATTACCATAATAAGACCGCTGACAAGGGAGCGATATTATAGCCCATAATGAGGCAAGTAAAAGCCGGCAAACTGTGCACGCCCCAAAAGTTCTGCACCGGTCAGTATCGACAAGGACTCAGCGGTTATGGTACAGATATATGAAACCAGCATTCCGCGCCAGTAACATCCGTGAACCTTTAAAATCTGATTTGCATGTTGTTTACTAAAACGATGGAATGGGACATGGCGTTGTAAAACGCCAATGAACCGCCCACATTGCAAGCTCCGCCTACTCAAATTTCTACCGCAGCTTTTCTGAAAATTATCCTCACATGTTCTCAGCAAGAATAACGAGGAGAAAATCTGCGGACCCTGCGACTGCGCGAGGAAGAACGAGTAGAAAATATGCTATGAACGGTTCAAAGCACTGAACACTTTGAAGTCAGACTTGCTCAGTGCGAATTCACTTCTACCTATACGTTCGAAACTCGAGTTCAAAAAATTCCCTGAAATGCACTTTTCGTTGGACCTCGGAGATTTCAGTGCACTGCAATGGCCAGATTCGCATCAAGTAGTCATACGAAGGAAAAGAAAGAGAAACGATCAAGGTTTGGGGCTAAGCCACGCACTCTGCCTCCCTCAAGAACTGTTTTAACGTTTGTATACACATCCAGCATACACAGGGCCATCTAATTATCTGGAATGGGCTTATCCCGATTACGACTTATCCACTTATCCCGATTACAGTAATATCGAACAGCCTAGTATTTCAGCGTTCAGCCTCACATAATCGTTAAAATCTATACTTATTCCTCCCCCTCCTTCCCCTCGCCTCCCTCAAAACACTTCGGCGAAGCTGGGGCAGCGGCAAATGGGCTCCTATCCCTTCGCATGGAGCATGATCAGTTCCTGACAGAAACAACAGCCAAGCCATCTATCCTGATTCTTCTATGTGGTACCAAAATCGTTAAGCAAGAAGAAAGCATTCACTAGAATATCAACTATCAGCAATACTGTATTGGCCAGAGTTGCATTCAATCGAGAACCCTATTCACAACGAATGTCCAATGCGTGGCGTAACCCACTGATGAATTTGCGAACATCGAGCAATTTGCCCTATTATGTAAATATTATGTAAACATATCTGTGACGAAACACGCCATTACAATGCATCAAAAATCGCAAGCAGAAAAACGTTCAACAGTTGGACAAAGTGCATTTCAGAGAATTTTCTGATGAATCACGTGAATCAATTAATTTCACGCTCAAATTCGCATGCTAATGCCCCTCTGTGATTACGTGGATTACAAAATTTCCACCTTACTGAATTAATTACGGATGGTCGCTATGGCCCCTGGGTTGTAAGAAAAAGGTTACATGTAGCCAATTCAGCCACCCAGGTAGCTTTGCTAATGTTCTATGAAAAACAAAACAAGCCTTGAATCATGAGCACCTACTACCAATTGCTGTAAACACCCCTTATAAATGCGAAAAACAAAA